TGGGGGTGCTTAACTTTTTTTCCAGGTGTATATATAAAAAACTTCAACGAGTATGACATCAGTTTAAGTCTTACAAACTGTAAACAGTAGGATGCTATATTGAAAACTGGTGGCATCATGATTTCAATACACAAGTACCTAACTTGGAATATTAATATTTACTTTTTATTTTTTGCAATTAAAATTGAAAGTAAATAATAGAAATAAGAACTTACAAGCTAGATAACAGCACTATCTTTCACTGGTGTTTCATCGAAGTTTATACAAGTTTCAATCTTCTACATGTATGGGAAACTTTATCTTGGGAGAGACCATGACAAGTTCACTTTCGGCAGTTACGTTATGTTCGTAATCCTGCACTCATTCGCATACAATTATTATATAGTAATTTAAGAAATTCGAATGTGGTTTAACGACTCTTGTTGTCGTGTTTTTCAAAAATTACGAAGACATATGCATATATATATATATATATATACCATGTGTTTCAAGTCCCTCCGCTTGCAGATTGTTACAAATAACAACTGGTATTTGAAATTATCTTGATTTTTTGTTGAAAACGTCAATACAACTACAACAGGTAAACGTAAGCGAAGTGTGTTTGCTAGTCTCAACCTAAGTAAACATAAAATGTACATGTATCAACACACCTCAGAGGTAGAATTATGTATGAACGAACTTGGTGATAGTACTATCTTACAATTGTATTTTTCTACACAACAACAACTAGAAGCCAAACCAAACGACAGGTGCGAGAGGTTGCATGTTTGTTCAGTCTTTTACTGTACATTGTAAGGCACGGGTAACAACTCTATCTTTGTTGGTTTAATACACATACAAATACTTCATTTCTGCAGTTGAATACTCATACTTCTAAGTAACAGTCTAAATAAACCATGAAATGCTTTTCTTGGTTTCTCAGATAAACATTGTTACTTCTAGGTAACGTACCCATTTATAACTTACTAAAATATATTTGTTGCAACCAACTGACAATCTTCATGATAATAGAGCTCTCAACTCTATGAATCAACAAAACCCTCTTCTTCCATGAAGATAAATAGTATCAACGACAAAAAAGGCCTAACCAGAGTCTTACCTTTATCACCAGTACTCAATAACCTCTACATGGAAGAATTCGAAGGTAAAATAACAGTTGCTATAAAAAGTACATTTGTAATATCGCCACATAAGTAGTTACGGGGATTGTTCACCGCCAAAAGGGTACCGCCTCATGCTGATTGGCTGCCTCAAAGAAGGAGGGGGATAGATTCGATAAGGTCATAATTCCATGAAGTGGAACCAGAGGGTGCATTGTTAGGCCGCCATGACACTTGATAATGGAAGTTGTCTGCTACTAGAAAGTGCGTTGCTAGGCGTGACATCATAGTTTGAGTGTTACACAACAGAGAGCGTGTTACTAGGTCACGAAGTAGTGTCAGAAAACATGTTGGTATGATGAGAGTGCAGGTAGTTTGCGAGCAAACCACCAGAGGGTGATATAGATCCATGTGTCTCAACATGTCATCAATGTCTATATTTTATGAGTAAAACTATTATTTTTATGTATTATATATAACAATAAATTAATTCTTGACAGAATAATTCATAGGATAATGTTACTACAGGCGGATGATACTAGATAAGGACAATATTACCATAGTTCATAAAATGATCAATTACTCAATAGTTCTTTACCTCATTTGCATAGGACAGATTTTTCGTGGTAACGTCTCTAAATATTGTGCAATAATTTAACAAAAATATTAGTTTTATGTTTGTTTGGAATTAAGCACAAACCTACACAATGGGCTATCTGTGCTCTGCCCACCACGGGTATCGAAACCCGGTTTCTAGCGTTGAAAGTCTGTATACATACCGCTGTGCAGTGGGGGGCATTAGTTGTATGCTAGTTTGGCTTTATGGATTAAATATATTATTATGCTATTCCTATACCCATATAACTATGATTTTTATTGTGAATAACAGTAAATGAGTTCTTGACAAAATATTTCATTTTACACATGTTGACAAGTTACTTTATAGTTCCCC